ATTTCTTGGCACAACGTGGTGAGCACATCCAGGGCAGCATCTGTTAGCTGAAATATGTCAATTGGTATACCATCTATTCCTGGGACTTTATCTTTTGCTATTTCCTTCAAAGCAGCTTGAACGTCTTCCTTCATAACCATAGGCTCTTGCTCAAATATTATATCATTAAATTCCTTTCAATACAATGACTCAGTATACTTCTTCCATCTTATTTTAATATCTCCTAGATCACTTAGTATTCTGCCTAAAGCATCCTTGATTATAGCAACTGTAGGTTTGAATTTGTTCTTCAGCTCCTTGAGCTTAACAAATGCTGAACGAGTTCGGCCCTTCTGATGTTCCCACGCTAGCTCCTCGCACATTTCATTGCAATATTTTGCTTTGTCATTCCGTGATGCCTTTTGGAAGGATTGGCCATACACTTCTGAAATAGCAGGCCTCTGAAAACCCTATGTACAACAGAACACACGTAGACTAACAGAAAGGACAACCTAGGTAGAACGTTCAAGTATGGAAATACAAAGGAAGAGGAACAGTTGTAGGCAGACAGTAGGGTTTGGAACATGAAATGTAAGAACCATAAATGTGGGAATATTAGAAATCATTAAGGAAGAAATGGAACATGTAAATATTGACATATTAGGCACTGGAGAGATGAGATGGACTGGCATGGGGCATTTTGAGTCAGATGATCATATGATATATTACTCTGGAGATGAAAAGGTGAGGAAAAATGGGGTTGCTATCATAGTTAAAAAAGTAATTTCTAGATCCGTCTTGAAGTACAACATTGTGAGTGATAGGATTATATCCATACGCTTACAAGGAAGTCCAGTGAATAGCACTATCATTCAGATATATGCACCAACAACCAGAACCAAAGAAGAAGAAATAGATGATTTCAACAACTTTTACAGTCGGAGATCGATTGAACATCCAATCAAGATGCATTGATAATAATGGGTGACTGGAACGCAAAAGTTGGGAACAGAGAAGAAGAATCAGTAGTTGGGAAATATGGGCTTGATGACAGAAATGAAGCTGGAGACAGAATGATTGAATTTTATACAATCAATGACTTATTCATTGCAAATACGTTTTATAAGAAACATAAGCACGGGTTATACACATGGATTTCACCTGATATTATGCATAGGAATCAGATCGATTACATCTGCGGGGGAAAACCGCTGGAGAAGCTCAATATCTGCTATGAAAACGAGGCCAGGGTCTGATTGTGCAACAGACCACCAGGTACACATAGGCAAGTTCAAGCTGAAGCTGAGGAAAATTAAACCGAATCCACAGGAGCCAAAATATGACTTTGATTTCAGTCTCATCTCAGGAACAGGTTTGAGGCCTTGAACACTAAAGAGGGAAGACCAGATAAGTTGTGGGAGGATATCAAGGCGATCATCCAAGAAGAGTGCAAACGTTCATGACAAAGATAGAAGAGGAAGAAAAGACCTAAATGGATGTCAGAAGAAACCCTGAAGATTGCACTGGAGCGTAGAGAAGCCAAAGCACAAGGAAGAATGCAAGATACTAAAGAGCTCAACAGAAGATTCCAAAAGATTTCTAAGTATCTTCCTATTTTATGTGATGCTTAAAGTTGTAAGTTGACTTGGCAGCCTTTGATTCTCTGGTTTGGTGTTTATAGTTCCTTCATGAAAGTGGATGTAATCCCCTTGATAAGATATCCCTTGATTACGTTGTATTGTTTCACATTAAGTGATTGGCTTTGAGCAGCTAATCCATTCAAGGACGGTGTTATTGGGACCATATATAAGGAAGTGTGTGGTGCAGCAGATTTACTTAGTTGGATCTAGGTTCTGCACGAAGGTCATTTTCTCTGATTCCTTGAACGTGGACCAACAAGTGCCTGTCTTGCCCACCAATCTTGGATCCATCAGATTTACGGTGACCGAACTGAAGACTTTGTCCAGAAATCTGACCTTGGACTTGTGAAATTCTACAAGCAGCTGAGTCATTTCCTTTAGCCAAATAGGTCTTTTTTATTTTGTTATTATGCGTAATTGATTGGAGCCCAGTCTGAGCTGGCCCTCCACTGACTTTTCAGAAGCCGTTAAGTTGCATGGAAGGAGATTGCCGTATTTCTCCCTCGGAGCAATTGTTGTATTAGAACTACTAGCCTTGTGGTAACCTGTGACAGCTAGCTATCTGTTAGGGACATTGACGCCCTCACCCAACTGGATCCCTGAGAAAAAGGTGTGCCCCACCACGTGAGAGGGTCTGCAAGGTACCCAGCCTGAGATCTGGGAATGCATGCAGCAGCCCCACACAGCAGGGTGGGTGGCAGCTCCAGTGATTTTGTTAATCCCCACCCCACCTCTTCCATCCAGTTCAACAATCAGAAAGCTTGTCTTTCTCCTATTCTTGAACAGGAGCCGGCCTTATCAGAAAGTGAGGAGGAATCTTG